GTTAAGCAAAGTGAACTAAGTTGAGAGTGATTACAAAGTGGTTAAGAGACACAGTAAGGCTAGGCCTGTGAACAAAAGTGAATCCATTTTCCCTGCAGAAGACATTTTGTTACTTTCCCACTCCTTAGTCATGAGACCCACCCCCACAGGGCACATGATTACCCCATGGCCCACCCTGAAAAATAAACTGAGATAAGAGGGGAACAGAGATTCGCTGATTTGCAAATCCCCTCCTCAAGGCTTATTTACTGTAACTGTAAAAATTAACTTACAGATATACCTTATGACCCCTTTAGGAATTCCACATGTGCAAAAAACTTCAAGGTGATTGCTTCAATGACCCTCCTAGGGTGACGATAATGAACACCACCATCTTGGACCTACTGAGCAGGCACAAGGACCAAAGCCCTGAGCATGTGGCCATGACACAACCAGGAAGAATGGAATGGACCACCTCCAGTGATGCTGGCCTGCACCCTTAACTCTTTTCCCTATAAAAGACCCTGACAGCTCCCCTTGGGGGGCTAACTTTACTATAGCTATCCCCCTTATGGATAAGTCTATCTCCTCTTTTAATAAAGTGTCGCTTGCTTTACTGTTGGGTGCATTGTTCACTTCTATGACTTTGGGACCCAGGAGCCTAATTTGGTAACATTTTTTTGAAGCTGAGCCAGGAGATAAGGTCACTCTGGGTGCCAGGGATGGCCCTGGAATTTTCCCCATGTAGCACACAAGCTGTTCTAATATCTGCACCAGCAAAAATTGGAAAGCCTCAGGCACCAGAGAAGACCCCATCTGTAAGAGGCAAGTGGCACTGGGACTATCTTGCTCCCATGTCTCTGCTGCTGGTTAGTCTCTCCTGGAGCCCCATGGCTTAAATTCTGACAATATCTTATTCTCTTTTACTCTCCCTTTTTCTTTCCCTTTTCTTCCTCTTTAAAGTGACTGTCAGACAACTACAGCTTGAACTCCGCTAAACCTATGAGAAGCATGCTCCCTCTGGCCGCAGCGGCTTGCCCTGACAGGTAACTAGCAGAGTTGGGAAGGCCAGTCCTCCCCTGTGAAGATCTTGCTTGAGCAGGTTCTTCCTGACAGGGGATTCATGAGAGTAGTGGAGATTCATTCCCACACCACACAGTGACTGTAAGTCCTGAAGCCACTAGAATTCTCTTTACCTTTCTCTGATTTTCTGAGCCCTCTCCTGCTATTTGGTCGGATTGCATCCGCTACTATATAGGTGCACCCTGGAGGATTCCTAGCTATGCTTTGTTTCTCTGATTTATAAAGTGGACCCCTACTCTTCCTCTTTTCTCTTTATTTGCTTGTTTAGACAGTTGAATAATGGTTATCTGAATAAGTCTTCTCACTTTTGGACCTTTGAGTCATTTTAGTGTGAGAGGGCAAGCCAAGCCTGGTCTGCAGGTAACAGGAAAGGTAAGCAGTGGCCAGATGAAGTATGGTCTTATATAAAATTACATGGAGCTTTAATTTTATTCTAGGGTGGGAATCTATTAGAGGAATTTCAGCTAGGATGTGTCATCATATTTACATTTTTTTTTTTGGCGGCTGGCTGGTGTAGGGGTTTGAACCCTTGATCTTGGTGTTTTGGTTTTTTTTTAAAGATGACCGGTAAGGGGATCTTAACCCTTGACTTGGTGTTGTCAGCACTACGCTCAGCCAGTGAGCTAACTGGCCATCCCTATATAGGATAGGAACCTGTGTCCTTGGTGTTATCAGCACCTCACTCTCCCAAGTGAGCCACGGGCCGGCCCTGACCTTGGTGTTTTAACACTGCACTCTAACCAATTGGGCTAACTGGCCAGCCCTATGTACATTTTTTTAAAGATCCTGTCTACTATACGGAGAGAATAAACTGTTGTGGAGGAGGGGACAAGAGTGGAAGCAGCAGGTTAAATAGAGACACTGTTTCAGAAGACCAGGTGGGAGATTAAGTCTAGAACTAGACCTAGAATTAAAGTAAAGATGATGAAAAGTAGTTGATTTCAGAGTGTACTGGGCAGAATTGAACTTGGTAATGGGGTTGATGTGGGAGGGAAAGAATCAAAGATGATTCTTGTCTTGATTCTTGAATCAAGGATGATTCACCTCTGGTGCCATTTACAAATAGGATGAACTCTAACAGTTATACATTTTTTAGTGGGAATATATTTCTGTGCATTGGTTTCATGCTTTGTAAATTGTAGAAAGAATAGCCTCATATGCTTTTGGAGGGGGCAGGGACGGGGAGGGGCTGTCCAGTCAGGGATCCAATCCCTTGACCTTGGTGTTATAACAGCAACACCTCGCTGTAATCAACTGAGCTAACTTGTCCAGCAACATCAAGCTAGTGTTCTTTGTTCTTCCAATTGCTACCACGGCCCATCATGATAAATTACTAATGACTAAAATTGCCTCTCCTATAATCCTGGAGATCAAAAAACAAAAGCCCAAGAGAAGAATCAGGGGCTTTTGCATAACTATCCATATACAAAACAAGTTTCAAGGTTAGTGTGTACTTTGGGGTGTTTTTGTTTGTTATGATTAAGATTCGGGTTTTAGCCTTAAGCATGTCATTGCCTCACCACCAAAAACACCTGGATAAGGGCCGAGCCCGTGGCGCACTCAGGAGAGTGCGGCGCTGGGAGCACAGCAGCGCTCCTGCCACGGGTTCGGATCCTATATAGGGATGGCCGGTGTGCTCGGATCCTATATAGGGATGGCCGGTGTGCTCACAGCGCTCACTGGCTGAGCGCAGTGCGGCCGGTCTCAAAAAAGGACAAAAAAAAAAAAAAAAAAATCTAAAGCAGGTCCGGCCTGTGGCTTACTCGGGAGAGCACGGTGCTGGTAGCGCCAAGGCTACAGGTTTGGATCCTGTATAGGGATGGCCGGTGCACTCACTGGCTGAGCGTGGTGCAGACCATACCATGCTGAGGGTTACGATCCCCTTACCAGTCAGGGGAAAAAAAAAAAAAAATGGGCCGGCCCGTGGCTCACTCAGTAGAGTGTGGTGCTGATAACACCAAGGCCATGGGTTCGGATCCCATATAGGGATGGCCGGTTTGCTCACTGGGTGAGCGTGGTGCTGACAACACCAAGTCAAGGGTTAAGATCCCCTTACCGGTCATCTTTAAAAAAAAAAACAAAAAAACACCTGGATAATAATCACATGATTTCAGCAGTGGTAAATTAATGTTTTCACACACAACCATGTTGAATATTAATATTTTAATTTTCAGTGAAGTAAAAGGAAAAATAGGTCTTTAAAAAAAAAAAAACACATTTCGGGGCCGGCTTGTGGCTCACTCGGGAGAGTGCAGTGCTGATAAAACCAAGGCCACGGGTTCAGATCCCATATAGGGATGGCCGGTTTGCTCACTGGGTGAGCGTGGTGCTGACAACACCAAGTCGAGGGTTAAGATCCCCTTACCGGTCATCTTTTAAAAAAAAAAAAAACCACATTTCGGGCCGGCCCGGTGGCGCACTGGAGAGTGCGCCGCTTAGGAGCGCAGTGGCGCTTCCGCCGAGGGTTCGGATCCTATGTGGAGACCGGTTCCCGCTCACTGGCTGAGTGCGGTGCAGGTGCAACACTGAGGTTTGTGATCCCGTTGCCGGTCCCCGGTACGGGCGCGACACCGAGGGTTGCGATCCCGTTACCAGTCAGTAAAAAAGACAAAAAAGGAAAAAAAAAAAAAACCACATTTCTCTAAAATCTTCCAATTGTGAGGTAAAAATACATTAATTCCTTACTATATAGCCTTTCTTTTTTTTTTTTTTTTTTTAAAGATGACCGGTAAGGGGATCTTAACCCTTGACTTGGTGTTGTCAGCACCACGCTCAGCCAGCGAGCAAACCGGCCATCCCTATATAGGATCCGAACCCATGGCCTTGGTGTTATCAGCACCGCACTCTACCAAGTGAGCCACGGGCCGGCCTATATATAGCCTTTCTTTGAAGCATTCATTAGGTTGAAATTTTTTTTTTTGTCCTTTTTGAGACCGACCGCACCGGCGCTCAGCCACCGGTCATCCCTATATAGGATCCGAACCCGCGGCGGGAGCGCTGCTGTGCTCCCTGCACCGCACTCTCCTGAATGCGCCACAGCTCGGCCCAGGTTGAAATTTTTGAACATTACCTTTTTGATGGATCTTGGACATGACCAGTGCCATCTTGGACGTGACCAGAGGCAATTTTGGCAAGGCCAAGGACAAAATGGCCCCCAACCCCTCTCCCCTTCCCTTTACAAGAAGCCTCATGACTTCTGCTAAATAGAAGCTCTTTTGCTTCTGCATGGGTGCAATGCCCCTCCCTCACACTGCCCCTCCTTTATTGCTTTCAGCCAGCCCTTGGTGCCCTACAGTCTATTTAAGCTCTCCCACCCCCAGGCCTAGTGCTGTCCTCCATTTTGAGGGCAGCCCCAAGCTGCCCTCCACTTTGAGCACAGCCTGTCAGATTCTTTTCCTTTAATAAAGCTTGACCAGTACTCGGCATCTCGGCTCACTTTCTTTCACTTTTGTAGTGACAAAAGACAAGCTTACAACAAATTTAAAGATCTCAGTTGGCTTTTTAATTTTTTTTAATTAATTTGTTTTAGGCAGCTAGCTGGTTACAAAGGTCTGAACCCTTGACTTTGGTGTAATACCACCACACTCTAATCAACTGACCAGTCCTATTCTTTAGAAGATTATTTATTCATTTTTTCTTCTCCTGTCACTCTCACCAGGATCTCAATTGGCTTTACTGAGATTCTAGAATGGGGCATTTAGATAGAATTTAATGGGGCACTTAGTATGGAATTTAATAATTATATTAATATTTTTATTAATATTCTATATTATTATAAAATTATATATATTAATTTAATATTTATATTATTTTTATAATGTATTATATATTTTTATTTTAATAATTCTATTTAATATTTTATAGAATTTAATATTCTATATTAAAATAACAATTTCACCATAACCAGCCACACACAAAAAAAATTCAGAGTGCAAAAATGAACATTATATATGTATTTTGTTGTTACTCTAAAGCACAATCATGGCACAATAGAATGTTAATAATATAAGTATATACCACTCAAACAACTTAGAACAAAAATCCAGTAACATGAGGAACAGTTCACTGATTTATTAGATGAACGAACATATACCCATATAATCAATGAAAACTGTATGATATAAAATAATTTAAGAAATGTTGGGAATTAGCAGCACCATCCATTACTGAAACAGCAAGAAAAACTTCACATAGTTTAAGCAAACACTAGAAGGGGTAACTACTTTAAAACCTAATAATGCCATTGGTCTGGGATGACTGGAAAGGGCATTGTTTTAGGCACATGTACCTCCTTCTATGCCAAAGATTCAGTGAGTATTCTGGAATAAAGTTTTAGAAAAATGCTCCTGAAGTAAGAGATACTGCATAGTATTTTAACTGGGACAAGAAGACTAACATCCAGCTACTTTAGCATGGCTCAACCTTTCTTCTATGAAAAATTTATTTCTGAATTATGAAATTAGAAATAAAAATAATTTTTAAAAGACACTAGTCTCTAAGAAACATTAAATGGAACACAGGTCACTATGAAAATACATCACTTTTCCAGTCTGCTTAATAATTTACTTTAAAAAGTTGTGTAGTTTTCATCACGTGGCTCATACAAATTTTTTAATAAGCATTTTAAAATGTTCAAACATATTTCTAAAACCTAATAAATTCTTTTGATTTTTTTTAAACATTTAGCCCTGTTGTCACAATTACTGTGTATAAGAGACTGAGTTTGTGTAAAGGATACAAATTTACACACATTTTACAGCAACTTATACCCTAACATCTACAAAATTCACATTTATAATACAAGAAAGTAAAAGGCCAGGATAAAACATGAATTCCAAAAGTCAAACTGTATCCTCTTTTTGTCTCCTTAAAAAAAGTTCAACTTCGGCACCAAATTTTAAAAGCCCTCTTTATCCTAAGTTTGGAAAAACCCCATTTCCCAGATATATTTTAGCAAACACAAACAGTTTTCCTGTGCTGATGTAGTAAAGGATTTCCAATTTTCTTCTGGCCCCTAAGTCTGCGTCGCATGGTAAGTTTAACAGAGTTCTTTCGCTGTGAGGTTGTGGGCAGGCTTGCAGGCTGAGCACCATTACTTCGACTTAAGCAATTTCGTCTATGCTTCTTCATAAGGGGGCCAGAGTTGGATTCCTCTAATGTCCTTTTAAAGTTTGCTGGAGGCGTTCTCTCAACTTCTTGGGCTTTTATTTGACCAGAGGTTGACATCTTTAAATTTTTTTGGTCCATGATGGTGTTTGTTGAATTGGTAGGCACAAGGCCAATTGACAGGCTATTATTCAAAGAATCATGTATCCTTAAAGTCAGGGCTTTAGCGCAATTTTCTTCAAGTGGCTCTGGATCTTTTGAGGGTATGACTACAGCCTGGACACTCCCTCGAGCTATCTCAGCTGGGACCTCTAAAAAATTCTCTGAGAAGGCATTACTGCGAACAAAGGCAGGTAAATGGTCTTTAGAGTTGAGCCTTGGCCATGGATCCTCTTCCAGTGACTGAAAAACAAGAAGGTAGAACAAATAAGAAATAATTTATCCTAGAACTCAACAAATCCATGACGTGATATGAGGCTCCTTATGAAGTTATTAAGATGACAAAAACATGATATGCATTCACTCAATCATTCACTATATATACTTTTTTTTTTTGTCTTTTTTTTTGAGACCGGCCACACCACGCTCAGCCAGTGAGTGCTGTGAGCGCACCGGTCATCCCTATATAGGATCCTAACCCGCAGCGGAAGCACTGCTGCGCTCCCAGCGCCGCAGCCGCACTCTCCCGAGTGCGCCAAGGGCTCGGCCCTATACATATTTTTTTAAATTGATATCATTCACTATATATTTAATTGAACTGTGTGCAAGGCTCTATGGAAGGAAGCTGGATGAGAAGATGGCAAAATAAAGGTTGACAGTGACGTTGAATCCTGCGTTCAGGGTAATAAATGAAACAAAATAATCTATCTAAAGTAGATTAAAATTCATGTGATCACAAGTATTTTCTGTTCTCTAGCAGATAACCAAAAATAAGAATCTTAAGAAACAAGATTTCGAAACAGAACCTACAAATAACCACAGGCACACATTTACTCTTCCATTATCCTAGCCCATTCATTCAGTACCCAAACATGAAGATCAAAAGTACCACGTTTTCTGTTTACTTTTATGTGTAGCAATAACATAATCCTGATGAAATGGTCTAATTATTTTACACAAATGCCTTATGTTTTTCCACAGGGACCATCAAAAAATTGCTTTGAGGGCTGGCCGGTTAGCTCAGTCGATTAGAGCACAGTATTATAACACTAAAGTCAAGGGTTTGGATTCCCATACTGGCCAGCTGCAAGGAAAAAAAAAAAAAAAATTTTTTTTGAGAAGCCATTAACAAAATCCTAATTTTTAAAAAAAATTTCTTTTGAGAAGCCATTAACAACATCCTAATTTTCTGGTAATTCAAACAAATGTCAACCTATGTAAATAAATTTTCAATTTCACACACAGGATGACCGGATGAAAAAGAGCAGGTTTCTATTCAAAGACATTAAGATTTACAGGTTCATGTATATTCTGATTCTCTTCAAATATTACAAAGAAAATAATTTTAGAGCCAGAATGGTCTTTTTTTTTTTTTGTCCTTTTTGTCTTTTTTCATGACCGGCAACAGGATCACAACCCTCGGTGTCGCGCCCGCACCGCGCTCAACCAGTGAGCGGACCGGTCTCTATATGGGATCCGAACCTTCGGCGGGAGCGCCACCCCACTCCCAAGCGCCGCCCCGCTCCCAAGAGCCACACTCTACCGAGTGCGCCACCAGGCCGGCCCCAGAATGGTCTTTTGACATAAACCAGTTAGCTTAATCGTTGGTGGGATGGGTGGGTCTCACTAGGATAAGTGACAAATTTGTGTGGTTTTTTTGTTTATTTCCTACTTCCTAAAATCAAATTTCTGAATACTTAGTAGTGTGGGAAATGTGGAGTACAATTTAAAGCAACTATGTCATAATAAAAACTCAAATCAATGTTGCTTTGCACCCATCCCACAAACATTAGATGCTGTTCTGTGATTTGAGAAAAGAACATATGAGACCCTACTGAGAATGGCTAGGGAAACCCTAAATAAATAAAACAAATCAGAATCAACAGGGGGCCGGCCCGGTGGCGCACTGGATAGTGCGCCGCTTGGGAAGCGCGGCGGCGCTCCCGTCCGAGGGTTCGGATCCCACATACAGACCGGCTCCCGCTCACTGGCTGAGCGAGGCGCGGGAGCAACACCGAGGCTTGCGATCCCGTTGCCGGTCCCCGGTCCGGTACGGGGGCAACACTGAGGGTTGCGATCCGTTGCCGGACACGGAAAAAAGACAAAAAAGACAAAAAAAAAAAAAAAAAAAAAAATCAACAGGAACTTTAGGTATGGTTTTTAAAAGCTTCACAGGTCATTCAGATGTGTACTACTACTTTAAGTGTAATGCTCTAGATCTACATATACTCAGAATATCCTCCCATCTCCAGACAGGAAAGAACATTCTTCCTACCAAACTCAAACCTTTCAAAGTAATATTTTATAAAAGCATTGTCTTAATAGTTTCTCAAGGACAGAGTTAAAGTATAAATATTATCTCTCCCCCAAGTATGTAACATTTCCCTCAAGTGGACTCAATCAAATTCATCAAAATATTCTTCTGTAGACTGGTAAATGAATATGAATAAACACCTTTCTAAAACTGCTGTATAAAAGTATATTTACAATAAAAATGTTTAATGTGTCTAGAATTAAAAGGAAGTTGAAAGCATCCAAAATCTTGTTTCTAAAAGTATTTCAACTTAACCATACACATGAACATGCTTTACTGAAAAAAGAAGGTCCAATGGAGACTGGATATGATAAAAGGACACAGAAATCCTAGTTCCTAATTTGGTACTGCCCCAAATACACTACTTCTCTTTTTTATTAAAACTATACTTTCTTTCTGGAGCCATTGATCCATTTATTTATTATACACTGCACGGTTTATTGAAAGCCTGATTGTTCTTGTCTGTTTGAACACTGACTACATGTTGGGCAGCAATCTTAATTCAAGTTAATAGTGTTGAGATAAGAGTAACAGAATAGTCTCTTTTCTAGGATATTTACATATGGCTTCCAGTATCAACAATGAAAGCTGCATGTGAATTTATCCCCCTGCATTAGGTTGATTCAAATGTTTAGCCTAGTCACAAGAATGCTCTGGCAGATTACAGAAAAATAAGTAATAGGGGCTGGCTGGTTAGCTCAGCTGGTTAGAGTACAGCCTTATAACACCACGGTCACAGGTTCAGATCCCTGTGCCAACCAGCCACCAAAAAAAGAAAAAAGAAAAGAAGAAAAAGAAGTAATAAAAGTAATAAATAATCATTGACCAAGATTTTCTGTGCTGCTTTAACACAGAAAAAAAATGTGTAACAAGACCAGCCAGCAAGTAAATTCTGTAGCAGAAGGATTCCCACTGCCAAATAATCACATCACTACTTTGGGCACAACAAAAAAGGTACCTATCGGGGCCGGCCCGGTGGCGCACTGGATAGTGCGCCGCTTGGGAAGCGCGGCGGCGCTCCCGCCCGAGGGTTCGGATCCCACATACAGACCAGTTCCCGCTCACTGGCTGAGTGGGGCGCGGGGGCAGCGCCGGGGGTTGCGGTCCCGTTGCCGGTCCCCAGTCCGGTACGGGGGCGACACTGAGGGTTGCGATCCGTTGCCGGACACGGAAAAAGACAAAAGACAAAAAAAAAAAAAAGGTACCTATCAAGACATTTACTACAATAGAACATATTGCTCTAGCATGAATAACAAGGTTAGACATTAGATGGAATTCCTTTATAAAAGAAAAACAATAGGACAATTTCAGAGTTAACACAATTTATTATAATTTCTGTTTTGCTATGTCTTTTTAAATTCACAGATTATTTTGACACTTCAGTGCGCTGGCTTTTTTCCCCCCACTGCCTCTTTGAACTTTTCCTTTTCCTTCTTTTTTTGTTGACATTCTGTGGGAATACATTGTATATGTTAGTACAGTCAACTACTTAGACTTCTTGGACTCATCCCAGATAAACGTGTACTATTATTATTATTTTTTCTTAAGATGACCAGTAAGGGGATCTTAACCCTTGACTTGGTGTTGTCAGCACCACGCTCTCCCAAGTGAGCTAACCGGCCATTCCCTATATAGGGATCTGAACCCGTGGCCTTGGTGTTATCAGCACCACACTCTCCCAAGTGAGCCACGGGCCGGCCCCTAAACGTGTATTATTGCTAAGCCTTCTCACATATTCATAAAACATTTGTTGTAATACTGAGAGATCACCTCTAAAAATACATACTAAAATTTCACTGCTTCAGAGATCAACTTTCTTCTTTCATCTATCTTATAATCCAATATAAACAACTAATTACAAATTGAGCCTACAACATAACTGAAACTAAGTTTTAATTTTCTGAAACTCTTTCCTCTCTTCCCTCATTCCTTCTTCCTATAGCTCTTGGCTTGTAAAACATTCAAAATTAACCAAATTGTCATTATACTTATCTAGATGTCGTTAAACATGAGATAACTATAAAGATGAAATAAATCAGAGATACTTGTGAGTACCCACCTTTAAGTCAGTTAAGGTTAAAAAAAAAAAAAAAAACATGAAACAATTTCTTGGACAGGAATTTGCTTTTGTTACTTATTAGATCAGAGTCAACAATACTAATTATTCCGTTGTTGTTTTCTTTTCTTTTTTCTTTTTTTTTTTTTTTTTTGGTGGCTGGCCAGTAAGGGGATTAAAACCCTTGATGTTGGGGGGCCGGCCCGGTGGCGCACTGCTATAGTGCGCCGCTTGGGAAGTGCGGTGGCGCTCCCGCCGAGGGTTCGGATCCCACATACAGACCGGCCGCTCACTGGCTGAGTGAGGTGCGGGGGCAACGCCGAGGGGTGCGATCCCGTTGCCGGTCCCGGTCCGGTGCGGGCGCGACACTGAGGGTTGCAATCCGTTGCCGGCCACGAAAAAAGACAAAAAGGAGAAAACAAACAAACAAACAAAAAAAAAACCTTGATGTTGGTATTACCAACTGAGCCAACCAGCTAGCCCAACACTAATTATTATGAATTGATCTAAATATTTTTTCATATTTGGGTGGGTCCTATTGGCTAACAAATAATGCCTGCACATAAAGTTAGTGTATAAATAAATCTCCTTATCTTAACTTTGGTATTATTTCTCAAATTTTAAAAATATATTGTGTGTACAGTTTTACTAATGCCAATCAGCAGATTACAAAAATTTTGTTTGTTTTGGTGGATAGCCATGCAATAATTTTTGAGGTCAATACTAAGAATATCAAGGTCAAGGGTTTGGATCCCCATACTGGCCAGCAGCCCTTCACCTCCCCCCCAAAATGTATATTATGAATATTTATTCCTATTACTATATCTATTCCTATCACAATACCTCTCACCCTGACCCCTACCCTAATGCCTCCTTCTCTATTCTACCTAAACGTCAGTTATTCAAATGTGTCAGGGAACATAATAGTAATGAATACATTCAATATTCAGAAATAGGCAAATAACCTTCTTCACAGATTTAATAAGAGAATAAAGAGACCTTAAGGAGTTTCAATCTACATCATCACTAAAGGGTTCTCAAAGAAAAGAAAGCATTGACAAGAAATTTCTTTAAGAAAATTAGTATAAAATAATTTGTCAGTTTCTAAATGAAAAGATTCCATTTCTTTTTGCCATATATATGTTAAGTAAAGAAAGCAAGCAATAATAATAAATTTCCAAGTTTGTTTGTTTGTTTTGCAGCTGGCCAGTACAGGGATCCTAACCTATGACCTTGGTGTTATAAGGCTGCAATCTAACCAACTGAGCTAACCGGCCAGTCTTAAATTTCAAGGTATTGACTATAGGATCACAATGCCCCAAATTAAAGTTCTTTGACACAAAAAAACTGCCCGAATATTTGACAAAATTCCACTGCAGGGCTAACCAGTTAGCTCACTTGGTTACAGCACTGGTGCTGATAACACCAAGGTCCAGGGTTCAATCCCTGTACCAGCCAGACACCAAACCAAAACAAACAAACAAAAAAATTCCACTGTATTTCCCATTTTAATGATCAGTCTACTAAAAAATCATTCTCAGAAGACCAGGTTAGCCATGCTTTATATGAAAGTAGTTATCGATATTACTATTTTTTGGTAGAAAAAATTAGGAAGAAGATGCAACTAGGTATTTAAGTTCTTACTACATCAGAAAAAGGGAAATATGGTACCCATTTAAATTTACCTATTTCACAGCATATCTTAAATTCACTCAATATTAACATCAATAAGAAATATGAATGATGTTTCTCATCCATGTTAATATACAACCAGTTCTAAGGTCTGATATTCTCAGGTCCAGTTCAATCTTGATTCTATATGATCTTGTTCAGACTGTTTAATCTCTCATTATTATTATTATTTGGCAGCTGACCATTATGGGGATCCGAACCTTTGACCCTGGTGTTAGAACTCTGTGCTCTAACCAACTGAACTAATCGGCCAGCCCTTCTCACTCTTATTATTGATAACATAAAATAATATAGCACTATTTCTGGGTTATGAGGTTCAAATGAAATATTACATATGAAAGTGCTTCACAAACTTTCCAATGCTTTAAAATTTTCATGGTATTAGAAAGGGATCAATAAATTCCAAACATTAGTACTCTTCACTGTTATAACACCAGGTTCAAGGGTTCAGATCCCCGTACCAGCCAGCCACCAAAAAAATAAAGATAAAAATAAAAATAAAAATATATATATATATATCCTTCAGGGGCCACAGTCATCTTTCTATTTGGTGCTATACACACAGCTGGCATTCAGATTAGTAGTAATGTGAAGATGGCTCTCTGAATATAAGTTACATAACAAACATTCATCACTTTCTTGAATTTAGTTCAAATCCAAAATCCCATTATATAAAAAAATCCAAAAATTGTTTTCAGGCAACACTAACCAAAGAAATTCTGACTACTAGGGCCGGCCCGTGGCTCACTCGGGAGAGTGTGGTGCTGAGAACACCAAGGCCCCGGGTTCAGATCCCATATAGGGATGGCCGGTTCGCTCACTGGCTGAGCGTGGTGCTGACAACACCAAGTCAAGGGTTAAGATCCCCTTACCGGTCATCTTTAAAAAAAAAAAGAAAAAAGAAATTCTGACTACTAAAACATAGTTTAAAAATTACAGAACTATATACCTTAAGTGGTGGTGTAGAACATGGGGAAGGAGTCATCACGCAGCTTTCTTGGCTATTATAGGAAGGGCTATCAGTCAGGTTCAGATAGAGCTCATCTTCGTTGGTGAAGTTTCCCTGATTGTCCACTCCTGGAGAGATGCAGATTACTATGGCACTCGTGTTATCTGCTCGGAGCATACGCTGCCTCCAGCGGCCTAATGCTCGATTCACAAGCATTTTAGCACAAGATTGTCCATGCTCACCCTGTATTTAAAAGAACAAGGAGAAGGAAGGTAATAACTAAGATTTAGTTGCAACTCCATCTGTATCAAATTAAAAATGGGGTGTTCAATGTGGCCTAAATAAATAAAGCTCCCAAATTTTCAAACAACCACAGTCCCCATAACTATGTAAAAATAGTACTTTTCTAAATTAAAAAAATAAAAATAAAACAAGTTCTTATCCTGTGGTTAAATTTCACTCATGTATTTTTATCAAAAAACTAAGTCTTCACTGTAACTTTAATTAGAAGTTATATAAAAGTTACCTAAAAATGGAAGTAACATGAAGTTATTATAAGTGAACATAATCCACAAATAAGAAAATAAGGCATGGTGGAAAAAACTCACTGCAAAGGGCCAATTTCCTCCTAATAAGAGCTTCTGCAAATAAAAGACAATGACCTAACATAAAAATTGTCAAAGAATATGAACAAAATTCAGAGACAAGGAAATATAAATGGCTCTTAAATATACAGACATGGTCAATGTCACTCAAAAGAGGAAAAAAGTACCACAATAACTGGTTATGGTACAGAGGGCAAATATATACCAACAGAAAGAGTAAAACAAAGCAGAACAAAACAAAAAGAATCTCATGTTATGCAAATAAAAGTAACCTGGAATAAAACTTCCAGTTTCATACACAAATTCAAAATTTGCCAATTTTCAAAGAATAAAAATGAAAATTTGTGCTCCAGCTGGGTAGCTTGGTTGTTTAGAGTGTGACCTTGTAACACCAAGGTCAAGGGTTTGGATCCCCATACTGGCCAGCTGCCAATAAAGAAAAGAAAAGGTTGTACTCCAAAAAATAGGGTTATATGTCTTAAAAGTACCTTTAGTAATAACTGAATGATGAAAATGAGTGGACCAGCCACAAGAAAAAAAAAGAAAAGAAAAAAAATATGAGTGGAAATGTTTTAAAAAGAAATATATCATAAACTATACAATGAAAAAAATTTTAATGTTCTATATAATGTGATAAAAAATATATTAACGTATAGTCTCCATAACAACTTTTTGGTCAATGATGGATGGCACATATGACTGAGGTCCCAAAAGATTATAATGACCATACCATATAACCTAAGTGTGTAGTAGGCTATACCATCTAGGTTTGTATAAATACACTCTAAGATGTTTGTGCAAGAGAAATTGCCTAATGACACCTTTCTCAGAACATATTCCCATAGTTAAGCAATGCATGACTATACTACAATTATAAAAATATTAATGTACTGTATATACTGTATATTATATAATGTATTATAGTACCATAAGTAGTACATTAATATTTTTATAATTTACTATACATACTGTATTATAAGTCATCAGGTTGTCATCTATATCTCTGAAGTTTATATAATCAAACTGAATAAAGAACTGGGGTTTTTTCATCCTCTCCTTGGGAAAACAGGGTATCATCTTTATTTGGGATTGTCTTATCTCGGGCACAATATTCCCACAACACATCAGGGACAGCAAACTGCAAAAAACTCTCTCAGCAGCTTTGCTTACCACCCTAATATTAAGCCATCCTTGCATTCCCAAGATAAATCCCACTTTGTCATGATTTTTTTAAACACTGTTCTCCTCCCCCCGACCTTTTCTATCCAATTTTATTGTCAAGATTTACCAGTCTCATAAAACAAAGGTACTAATCAAATTACAGCTTGGGGAGACTTTCCATCTATATTTCCTGAAATTGCTTTATAACATGGGAATTTTTTTCTTTCTTTTAAAAAAAAATTTACCATGGAGGTTTTCTGTTCTTTCAGTGTTTGCTAGAATTTGCCTATATTTGTTTTCATATGTATACTTTAAAACCAATTAAATCGATTTTACAGTTAAAAGTGATTCAAGCTTTTTATTCTTCAATGAGTCAGTTTTAGTATTTTATACTTTTTTTTTTTTTTTTTTTTTTTTTTTTTTTTTTTTTCCC